TCTTGTGTTTCAAGCATCGATGACAGTTACTTATTAATGATTCCATCCCATGCAGATAGATCCTTAAGGTCCATATCAGAGATGTGTACTTGCAAGATACTGGAAGATAGTGGAGGTGTCGGAGATGGTGAAGGTGTCGGAGATGGTGAAGGCCATCAGAGGAGGTGTCGAAGGCCATGGGAGGCGTCGGAGGCCATCAGAGGCCTCTCACACCTACTAAAAAATGACATTGGCTTCCAATATAGGTATTTATTCTCAATTAAGGTTCACATATTGTATCATATTCTCTAGTTCCAGTTGAACACAAAAAAAACTGAGTGGTTCAAGGAATGACACCACCTCCAGCACCTCCAATGTGGCCTCTGACACCTCCCTTCCTGCATAATCCAAGACTTTCAGGTGGTATATGTGATAGATAGTAAACACTTGTCACTGCACATAGTGCCTGAGTATTGTTTTCTCTCTCAACTGGTGGAACTCAGCTTGTACCATCCTGCTGCATGCACGGCTTTACTACCAAATATGTTGTACCAATTATTATTTCAGAGAACAGCCGAAATGGACTGGGAAAGACTCACTGAGGGGTAGCAGAGTACTTATGAACACTACTTTGATTTCCTGAAGCCCGGCCGGCAACTGTAAGGTACTTGGAATGACAGTTCATGAAAGATGTGGTAGTTAAGGGTCAAGTCCTAATTAGGACTTGTATGGATTCAGCACATTTTCAAGCACAGGATTTCAAACTGCGGGGTAAAAATCTGATTTAAATCAGAACATCTCCGGGCAGTATCCAGGACCCATGTCCGGATTGTGCCAGAGGGGGGAGATACAGCCGTGCACCTATAAAAAAAACATTGCACTGAGCTCATGGTTATTCGTGCTCTGATTGGCTGCCAAATGACGCACCGATTACGTGTAAGGCTCGGGCCGAGTGGCGGAGGCCACGGCGAAGGTGGGCCAAATATTTGGACCGGCCTGACTCTCTCTCTCTCCTCCTCCTGCCTCCCTTCCCTGTGGTTGTCGTGAGTGATTACACTCAGCACATTGCTGCCCCTGCTAGAAATCACTACTTGGCCCTGTTTCTGCCGCTGGGCTCCTGCCTCCACGTTTTTTTTGTCCTCTTTAAATTCTGCTTGCCGTGAGCAAACATCCCTTTTTTCGCATTTTTTTCACTTACATCTCTTTGCTACAGGCTCTCCCTGTGTTGTATCAATGTTGCACCCACTTTCATAGAAGTATTGGTGTGTAACAGTACTTTATTTCATTGATTTCCTGACTGAAAATCTCCTGCAAGTGCCCTCCCTCCGAAATGGCAGATGAGGCTGCTAGAACCCCTCCCCCTGCTCCTGCCAACGACACGGCCCTCCTTTTTTACCACCCCGATATCCTCCTCGGACCTGCTCCACGACACAGCGGGGTTTACCTCCCAGACTCCCCTCTCTCCTCTTCAGCCTTGTCGGATGCCAACCAACCATTGAGTCTGTTCAACAATCCGGCCCACAACGGCTCCTTCCCTTGCGCTCTGGCAGCAAAGGCGGCTCTCCTGAAGAAGGTGTAGGAGGCGCCGGAGGTGTCGAAGGTGCAGGAGGCGCCAGAGGTGTCGAAGGTGCCTACAGCACCTTTTCACCACCCGCTCGCAGGTTCAGGAAGGCGGAGGCCCATCCAATCCCCACCAGGGTACAACAGCGCCGCCGGTCTCCCCTCAAATTGGCCCTGCGCCGTGGCCTGAACCCTGTCCCCGTGCTAGACAACACCGACGACGACAAAGTACCCCCTTGCCTGAATGTCTCTCTTGCGGTGTCATTGGATGCAGAAGACAACAACAGCCTGCACTTGCAGAAGAAACACACACCCGGCAGAGGAGGGTGGCTGCATAAAAGCAATGACAACAAACCCGCTGGTGAGTCTACTGCAAACATGTGCGTTCCACCATGCCCCCGGTGGCACCCTCACACAGCTTGTTGAAACAGAAGGCTATGCTGGTAAATTACCTTGCTACCACCTCGTCAAGGTCGAAGCCCGCACCGGTGCCTGCTGCGCAGTTCCCAAGCTCCACCCCCCTTCCCCATGTCATCTTCATCATCCAGACGCCAGCCAACACACCAGCTGCTGCATCGTCAGTCCCTGGACCCGCTGTGCCCGTGCCTACAGCACCTCCTGCAGAACCTACTGCACCTCCGTCGGCTCCATCTGGCGGAGCCCCACCACGCAATGTGTAGGCCGACATGCTGACATGTCGGCGCAAGTAGTGGCTGAAGATGCTGAAGAGCGTGGGGCTTACACCGGAGGTCCAGCTCCGCTCGGTCGCGCCCGTAGCGTGCCACAGTATATTTTGGACATTTTGTACTGTACTTTTTTTGTTATACATACATTCTTGAAAGCTTGTAAACAATAATGATGTTTGCCTGTAGCAATGAAGCTAGTGAGCTAGCGTGCGGAGGGTTGGGCACGTGCATCGGAGGTGCAGGAGGCGGGAGGTGGGGGCGGCATGCCACGGGATGACCATGGCGTGCAAAGAGGCGCGGGAGGCGGGAGGCGGATGCAGCATGCCACGGACGCACCGAGAATGGCAGCGCAAAAGTGTGCCCGTGACCTACCCCTCCGACACCTACAGGGGCCTCTTAGGGGGGTTATGCTCCTACAACATAACCCCCCCTAAGAGGCCCTCACGTGACCGGCGACGGTGCTCCCTTAGGTGTTAGAAGTGCGGGCCGAGACCCGAATGGACAACTAGCGCACTTACCCCCGCGCTAACTATGATTTCATGGTCCCCGAGGCTTACTCTCACTCGGAATACGTGGGTCCCTTTTCCTTTTTTTGTACTCCCAGTGAGAATGCCGTCTGGGCAGGTATGCAGCGGTGGGTCGTCTGTGCCCACCTTGCGATGCGGGCCTGCATCCCGAAGTGTCGCTGGTATCCTTCCGGCGAATAGTCGTATTCCATCATCGACCCTTCAACATAGCTTCAGTAGCAGGAGCATTGTGGCAAGAGGGAAAGAAAGACAGACCCACAGTGGATTGAAGCTAAATTTTGCGGCTCCACGTGCCGTGCCATCGATTCAACCTGAGTCAGTGCGCATGGCCAATGTCTAGTAAGTAGTTCCTATATGATGCTGATCGGGATGTCTTCGTGCTCCCAATTGCATGATTCAAAGTTCGTGCGGCGGCGACGAGGAAAAGTTAGGACGTTGTTTGGCGGTGTTATGCTGCTGGCCGCATCAATACTGCCACTTCACAGCCACTCTTCCTCTGGGGGGGGGGGGGGGGGATTTATTATACTCGCGAGGTCCACAACATGAACAGCGAGTGTACCGAAGACAAACAAGTAGGAATATACGGGTGGTTAGCCGTACATAAACCTACAAGATGCCGACAGAGCACACAGAAATTCCAGGGGGGTGAGCATACAAGATGCTGGCATTCCTTGTACTGGCTGGCCTTTCGAATGGTGGGACCACCGGTTCCAACCTCGTGGGACCTGACCACCAGCGAGACATGCTGGTGTACGAGAGAAGTCCTCTCCCCCCAGGTATAACCCCCGGTGTCCACCAGTACAAGAGAAGCTGTCGAATGTCTTCCCTTTGCAGACTGCATGCGTGGGACCACAGATTAGCGTGTTCGACTTCCGAAGAAGGTCCACAGCCAACAAAAATAACAGTGCTCGACTCCCGAAGAAGGATCACAGATGACAGAAATTCACAAAGTCTTGGTGCACACATCAGGTGAGAGGTGAGCGGGGGGTTGTCGAAGCGATTGTGCTTGCAGATGATGCTCTGTAGTAATCTGACCAGGTGTTCAGGTGACGGGTGACGGCGACCTCTGCGGTTTGCTTGAGCTTTTTTCATACCTGGCGAATCTGTGACGCAGCTTCGTATAGAGCACCGAATACCGGGCCATAGGGTCTTCAGGCGCACCGGGCACTTTTCATACAACGCCTGGCCGTGAATATATCTCTCTGACCAACCTTCGTATATAGCATCCAACACTGGGTAAGGGCACCTCTCACTGGTTGATTTCTTCGTGGAGTCTATGCTCGGCGGGGGATCGAATCCCCCTAGACCTCTGCATTGTGCCTCGAGCTTTTGTACGCCGGTCCGTGTATACATCTCTGCTGACCATCCTTCGTATAGAGCATCCATTGCAGGGAAATAAGGTCTGCAGGTGGACCGGGCACCATCCGTAATGATGACACTGACTACCCTGGTTGGAATCCCCCTAGACCTCTGGACTGTTCGATCTATAACCTTTGTTTTTTACTTTTTTATATTCGACACGCCCGCCAGCGAATCCTCTTACAGCCTCGAATACTATCCTACAAGACTCGAGAGAAATTTGGTGTTAAGAGTGGCCGCATTGGTAGCTACGGGATCAGATAGTTGGACGGGGGTGTATGCACCGACGAATAGACGTGCAGGTACTGAGTCTGCCATATAGGAGTGGGTGAACTCTTAGAAGAAATGATCCGGCCTTGAGTCGGGTGATTACTTCCGCTGAAAGGATTTTAAAACAAAAAAGTTGGAGTGACTCCTTCTATTCGGACGCCGGGAGTCGAACCCAGGGCTCCCGCCTCAACTGGTTCACAGAACTTCGGGAAGGAAAGCGGGTGTGCACCGAGCAATATCTCGTCTTTGCCACGCTAAACGCCTCAGCGTAGAGGCGAATGAGCCAAAAAGAAAAGGACAGCGGCTCAGAATTCGGACGGTAGGGATCGAACCCAGGCTTCCCACTGACATGTTTGACTTTGTCTAAGCTTCTAAGGAGAGTGGGTGCACCATGCACCACGTCCGAGTCCTTAGCCGGGGTAAGCACCTGAATAGCTCGCAAATGAATTCTCAGCCAAAAGTTGAACAGAAGATTACAAATTCAACATAGCCCTCCGGATCCTGCTGCTACAGCACTGAACATAAATTCAGCTGTCCTAGCCGGCGAGAGTGACTGAAAGGCTCAGCGTTCAAACGCAGGAACGAGAAGAAGAACAAAAAGGAGGGAGAGATTTGCGACTTCGGACGCTGGGAGTCGAACCCAGGGATCCCGCATCAAGCGCTTTGTTTTTTAATAGGCCAGAAAGACTCAAAGAGCGGACGTGCACCGTGCACCATGTCCAACTTCACCTCCATACATTGGCTAAATAATTCGCACCGTGAACCATGCATGCAAGGTGGGAGGAGAACTTGTAATAAATGACCCACACTACTAACGGAAGAGGAGAAATAGCACCAATGCCGTCATAGACCCAGGAGGGAAACTTGAAGGCGAATGCAATTTTGGACATTCGGGACGCTGGGAGTGGAGCCCAGGCTTCCCACACCGCAACAAGATCTTCTTGAAAGGAGAGTGAGCGTGCACTGCACATCCTCCCGAGGTTCTTTCTTCAACTGAGCGCTGGCTGAGATCATCAGCTTGCAAGTAAAAAAAAAACGAAGGAAACAAATACCTTATTCGGACGCTGGGAATCGAACCCAGGGCTCCCGCCTCAACTAGGACAAACTATTCTATAAAGAGGAGCAGATGTGCACCGTGCACCACGTCCGAGTTCTTAGCCTTGGTAAGCACCTGAATGTCTGGCATATAAATTTCCAGCCCAAAATTGAACAGGAGATTACAAATCCAACATGACCCTCCCCGCAGTGCTGCCGCTGCTGCAGCGCTGAACATGAATTGGACTGTCCCGGCCGTCGGGAGTAACAGAAATGCTCTGCGTTCAAACGGAAGGGACGAGAAATAATGGGGGAAAAAAAAGTGGGCTGACCTGCTATTCGGACGCTGGGAGTCGAACCCAGGACTCCCGCCTCGAAATCTCCTACGTGACAGCTTCATAGACAGCAGATGTGCGCCGTGCACTACGTCCGAGTTTCCATCCTCCCTGTGCACCGAAATGCATGTGATGAAAATTAGTAGTTGCACTTAGAGACCGAAAATTTTAACAATCCCCCATCCTGCTGAATTCCGAACCACCCAAAACCCGCTCTAAAATCGAATCCCCGAGCGAAGGCAGAGAGACCATCGCATACTTCTTGCTGTGATGAACGAATGAAAGGGAGGGGAAAAGGTCCAAATGATGCTATTCAGACGGTGGGAGTCGAACCCGGCTTCCCGCCTCAATACTTATGTCTGCGCCCTCTACAGATGGCGGGTATGCACCATGCACCATGTCCGATTTCTCGGCCTTGTTGCGCACCTGAATCCCTGGTATTGAAAATGTCATGAACCTGAACAGAAGAACTGAAATTCAACATGCCCCTCATCTCCGGCTCTACAGCCCTTGCTGCCCCGGAGAAAATAAATTCAGCAGTCCCAGCCGCCCGAAATAAACGAAAGGCTCACCGCTGTAAAGCAGGAAATGATGAGAAAAAGATCGCAATTCGATGAATTATTCGGACGCTGGGAGTCGAACCCATTATGGCTTCTCCCGAAGCGTAACGAGAGCGGGCGTGCACCGTGCACCACATCTGACCTCTCTCTTTACTCTCTCCCCGGCCAAATGAGACGAAAATCATCAGCATCAAGTTGAACAAAACAAAAAACCGGGACACTGAGGCTCGTATTTCTTCACAATCCCTAGAATATCTTTGCGCGGGTAAAAGAAGTCTGATTATGCTCAAAGAACTACGTTACATGAAGTAAGTACGGACTTGAATTGTATATTATAGAAGCTAGAATTCCACTGGAAGCTACACGGACTGTTTAATGGTCGATAGTTTGGGCCCAAACATAGAAGAATTGAGTCAGAGGCAGCGGTCGGTGAACACTAAGGGTGAAAAGACCGAAGTAATTAGATCAAGCTATCGAGAATGAACATTTTGGTGTGAGACCAAACTTGTGGGACGACAGATTGAATGGAACACGGACTGAAAGAGACGCAGACGAGAAACATATAATGACACAGAAGGTCATTTGAGTGGCTTGAATATAGGTAACCTAGGAGCAAAGTAGGCTTTCCCTGACAGAATACTCCAGACTGAAAATGTGGGCCGGCAAATTTGACACGACTGAAATGGTTATGCGTCGAGTGACAGACTATTTATATGCGGAATATCTTCGGCCTATTTTCACTGACCGCAGCCTGAGTATGATAAATCTGCCCGCGGATTTACTGCGAGAGACTGCGTCTCTGTGGAAATTACTGCGGAAAGGTCAGCTGGGTTCCTGTGGAGGTGCATCTGTTGGGCTCCGGACTGAATGGGTGAAGACAAATGGGGCATGTTGGGCCCACATGGAGGAACCTATAGGACAAGAGGACAGGATGGATACTGAAGATACAGATGAATGGAGTTAAAGCCAACTTAATATATACCAACGAGCAAAGAGATAACCATCGAAGAACGGATAATTGCTGCTGACCATAGAGTTTGGACAGCACTTTCAAATACTGATCAGGTTATCAACACAGTGGGGCCATAGTTAGGCTAAAAACTAAAATGAAGTAAACCGACGCTTGCCAACACATGCATGTAGCATGCACCCCGGCTGTTTCTTAACGGGACCATGTCGGAATATACCTACCTGGGCAGGACATATCGCACCTTGATGGCAGATGACCGAGGTCACCACCGTAAGTTCCGAAGCCGACGAGTTAGTACTCAGCGCACCTGAACCACTCTATATTCCGAACTGTCAAAAAGATTTTTGAAAACGAGAATGACGGGAATTGAATCACGCGCGGAGATACACTATATTGCACTGTTTGGCCATGGGAAAGTTCAAACTTGGGTGAGTCTCTATACCCCGAAGAACCTCAGGACCCACTAAGATATGCTGCATCCACAGTCATCCAATCTGACTTATCTTGAAAAACTATTGACTATTTCAATTTTTGGTATCTCAAAAATCCAGAACCAAGGAAAATTAGAGGCCGCCCCAATGGGATTTGGATTTGCGAAATCTGCACTACACCCCGAATCCGCACTACACCCCGAATTTCGCAAATCCAAATCCCACCTCCCTCCTATGACGTAATCTCGCCTTTTAGGCAATTGCACGTGATGATGCTGCCCCTAGAATCATCCAGAGTCAAGCTGAAGGGTATAATAATGGATCTGCAGAGCTTCAAACTACTTTTCATCGAAAAATGTTGTTTTGCATTTCACGACTCAACAATGCACGTGATATTTTGCGTGGCTGTATGCCCATCAATACCCAAATCCAGTAATAATGTATTCCCCTCTAACTCAACAAAAACTTGACCTGTGGCTTTGGGAGTGTCATTTTTGGACTCAGGCCGTGAAACTGCTTCAGATTTCGACGGGTGGTCAAAAATTCTCAGATTCAAAGCCCCTTGGGCCGCCCAGCTTTATTTTTCCTTTGTTCCTTGCTTCGTTCTCGATTTTGCTCTTGAGGCGAGCCCGAATTAATGAGAGTTTTGCAAGATCAAAGTGATCAAATGAGTATGGATGCGGCATATCTTACCTAAAGTTAGTGGGCATTGGTCGCAAACTGTTCTTGACACCGTTGCTCCACTCGAGGGATCTGCTTCGCCGGCCACCCGTAATCTAAACTAGAAGAACCCCAAGACCTCTGTTTCATCCCTCCGCGCAGGCTGCACTGGGCAAGGGTCGCAAGGCGCATGAGTGAGCCAGAGTGGCACCTCTGCTCCTGCTTAAGTCTACCATAATGGTCGCAGATCACCTCTCAAGTCAAACTGCAGATCCACGGTAATACGGTCTGCAGGCTCACCGGGCATCTTTCATCGCTCGACCCCTTGTTGTCTGTGCTCGGCGGGGGTTCGAACCCCCCTACACCGCCAACGGTCGGCCATGTAGTCCCCACCTGGGCGCAACATGTGTGCGAGATGTCGTGAGATGATGGCCACCAGCTGTTTTTCGGGTGGGTGCCAGGTTCAGGAGCCAATAGGTCCAGCATGGAACCAGGTTAAGCTGACCGCCAGCTGGAGTTCTAACATGGCTCAGAGCTGGGCGGACACAAGTCATATTTCTTGCTTACCAGTGGCCCATACCACTTTATTTTTCCCTTGCTCGACTGATGTATGAATGAACAATGATTGAATTCAAAATGTATCTTTACGAGCGCGTACAATATCTATTTGGCGGAGGTTGCCACGTTGATTGCTCCTGATAGACTCTTGGAACTCGTCGACATTCTCGTTGTTGAGCTCGTAGTTATTTTGATCTTCGACGGCTTGAGGCGTCTTCGACGACCGCTACGATCTGCTCCCAGTTGGCCAAGAACATCTTGGCATGTCTTCATCATCGCCCAGCATGGCTCCACGGCCATGCTTTGTAGCCCCGCGAGGAGATGGGGCCAACGGGCCCATGGCATCTGGCATGCCACGACAATCGTCATTGTCAGTGGGGGCAGTGCTTGCGCGACCGCCAAGGCGGAAACAGTATGGCTTGCTTTTTGAGGCCTTGAACGGTCCCGAATTGGGGTTTGAGGATGAGCGCGGGGAGTGTGAAGAAGTACAAAGATATCTTGGCAAAAACAACGTGATCTGAAGACCAGGCTTGAGGGCTTGACACGGCTTGACAGCCAAGGCAGAGAGGAGTTGAAGCTCAGATGAGGTTGAGGACCAAGTCGATCTGAGGATTGGTTGATGAGGCAGACCCAGCGATGACACATGTACAAGTAGGATAGTCGGGAGGAGATGGATGTCTCCCTCGCTGGGATTTGGATATGAGCGTGGAGACTTTTACTTGAAGTGAAGTGTGAGAATTGATGTGGCTTCGTGAGATGAGCAAGGAGAAGGATGTCTATATGAGTAGAGCAATATGGGTGGAAGGCAAGGCGGAAGGTGAAAGTGGGAGAAAAGAAAGCCACACGTCGCTTTGCGGCCAACATGCACGTGATGATAGATGCCGTACCAAACAAACGCACGGACCCTTCATCAGTTTGCATCATCCACCACTGTCGATTCACGCAAGAGGGCTAACATCCAACTGTCGCACGGCAGTTTTCTCCGAGTCATACTGGGCAAAGAAAATATTAACGGTACAGACCGTGAGTTTGACTCAGCAAGGAGTCTGCTTCTGTTTACAGGAGCGCTACAGTGTCCGAGTCGGCCGAAGGCGGGCGATGGACTTTGGACAGACTCGATGTGTTGTTGTATTTAATTTTTGTTTTATAGCCATGGTGTACAAGTCACTGTTTT